CTTAATTTTTCGAAATTGACCAGTTAGAGAAAAATTTCTGATGGTTTTGATTGTGTATAACCTTATACTTAGTGATGATTTTTCCATAATTGTAGCGGCTGATATATTTATGTGGAAGAACAAGAAGATGTCAGGTGGTGTATTTGGTGGTGCTACAGTGGCTTGGATTATCTTTGAATTGATGGAGTATCATCTTCTTACTCTGTTATGTCACGTTATGATCGTTGTTCTCGCTGTTCTATTTCTATGGTCTAATGCAACCATGTTCATTCACAAGTAAGTTGTGATTAACATATCCTTATGAATTATGCTTTTTGCTGCTTCATAATCTCAGATTGATCTAAATTTGTTTCTCTTTCAGGTCACCACCAAAGATTCCTGAAGTTCATATCCCTGAAGAACCTCTTCTTCAACTTGCTTCTGGTCTAAGAATCGAAATCAACCGCGGTTTCTCTTCTCTTCGTGAGATTGCATCTGGAAGGGATCTCAAGAAGTTCCTCTCTGTATGTTTTTAAAACTTTTCAGGATTTCTCCTTTCTTCAATGTCTCATTTTGAAGTTTGACTATAAAATGTACTGTTTGATTAAATTAGGTTATTGCCGGCTTGTGGGTTCTATCAATCTTGGGCGGTTGCTGTAGTTTCTTGACACTGTCATACATAGGTAAAGCTTTAATTGCTAAAACTATTGCTTTTTTCCATTCTCTAATGTATCGCTAGTATTCGAACAATGCTGATGGCTCTTGATTTGATCTCTGTTGATTCAGCTCTGGTTCTGCTCTTCACTGTTCCTCTTCTATACGACAAGTACGAAGACAAAGTAGACCCATACGGAGAGAAAGCAATGTTGGAACTGAAGAAGCAATACGCAGTGTTTGACGCAAAGGTATTGAGCAAAATCCCAAGGGGACCTTTGAAGAACAAGAAGAAAGATTAGAGTTTTTTGTGGGGTTTCTTTCTTTGCTTGAGTGTGTGTGTGCACAAATGCTCTGGTTTTTATTTTTACATGGGTTATGTTGTGAAATGGTAAAATCTTAAAGTTATGGGTTAGATCTCATCTTTTTTCTGTCTCAAATTTTTACTTGACAACTTTTGATGCTTTTTCCTTTTGTTCGAGTGGTTTTGATGTTGTTGTGGCATGAGGACAAAATTTGTAGTGGATCTCTTGTTCTATATGATCTTGTTCGAGTGGTTTTGATGTTGTCGTGGCATGAGGACAAAATTTGTAGTGGATCTCTTGTTCTATATGATCTTAAGTATTCGTGACTGATTTTTCGTGTGTTGTACACTACATAACCTTTTCTCTTTTCTGGAACGTGGTATCTGTAGTCAACAAAATTTTCTGTTTTATATGTATCGAAGAAATATATAAATATAATTGGTTATAAGAAAGTCAAAGTCAGGATGGCCGAGTGGGCTAAGGCGCCAGACTCAAGTTCTGGTCCTCGTAAGAGGGCGTGGGTTCAAACCCCACTTCTGACATTATTTTTTTATTTCCTGATTTTCAAATTCGTTAAGCCAAAATCAAAATGATCTGAATGGTCAAGGGCAA